TTGGAGGAGCTGATCTCGCAGTTTGAAATAGGCAGAATTACAACCCATTCTGCGTTACTGGATCTTGAGAAACTCCCAGAATTCAACAGGTAGAAATATCAGTGGTAGATCTAACATTTAATACTTTGTTGGGATGTCTGTCCAAGGTCTGATGTTGCCTTTCCAACTGTTCTAGTTTTAACTGGCAAATATGAGATGGAGATGATTAGAGTGAACAAAACCCAGAGCATTTTCTCTTTGTCCAGGATGCACCTCACTCGCCATATTGAGAATGAAGGGTTACGACACAAACTAATTCAAGAGCTGCAGTTGCTGGTGGAGCACACCTATGGGGATCAACAAGTGGATAAAGAGGTTCTGGAAAAGGAGTATGTGGAGCAAGTCCTTCTGCTGAGAAAAGTATGAGAAGTGATAAAATGATATTACTGTTTTGTGGAGAGCTGGAGCATGGGCATGCATGGTTTTGTGGGTAAAGACTCAGCTGAGTTTGGGGCACTGCTTTGACCTGAGCTCTGCTGACTGCCAACAGCAAGTGGCTGTAACTGCCAGTTTGGGTGTGCACATTACTGCCAAAATATAATGGTGTGGTTGGCTGGCCTGTAGGAATGAGCTTGCTGAATATCTTGGCAATCTTTGCAGGTTTGTAGCCTCATTGGCTCTTTGTTTAGCTGGCAGAGAGCTCCTTTGGTTGAGGGAGGATGTGTCCCAACCATGGAAATACTATTAGTATTGCAGGATCAGGTCAGCTGTGGCTTTGTTTAGATGAGAGTTGAAGGCTTCCATGCTATGCTTTGCTTCATGGTCCAGCATGGAACGTGCCCGTGGTGCAAAGATCTGTACTGAGCAGGCTCCTCATACTACCAGGCAGTTCACCCATGCTTTTTGCTGATTGGGCAATGTGAAGATGCTTGTGTTGCTACAGCTCCATGCTTTGGAAGCAAAGTCAAAGCAACTGCTTAGCAGAGATGGATGAAGCTCTTGATGGTTAAACTAATGGCACCTGGGTGTGCAGAGCCCTGGTCTCAGCTCAGTGGCAGAGTGCAGGCTGTAAAGGGGATAGGAGATACTTTGGCTTTTTCCAGTGGTAGGAAAGAGGATGAACCCAGCAGTTTCCCAGTCTGCCCCTTGGATACTGCTGTAGGATCAGGGGAATTCCTGGAGGGTAGTAAAGTGCCTCTGTACGGGCAGGCAGAGACCCTGTCTGTCAGCAGAGGTTTCACTGTGGGCTGCCCATGTGACTCCCTGTGCGTCTCATGAGAGGCAGCAACTGAGTGTGGCGAGCCACTTCCAGGGACAGAGTGAGTCAGCTGCATGTGCAGGACTGGTACCAAACCCTTGAGGCTGCTTTTGTATCTCCGTGTGCACCAGGAGGTTATGGGTGTGAAAAAACAGCAACTAAAATGTCAGCAGTTCACGTTTTCTCTAAGCAGGCACAAAGCACAAGGCAGCAGTGTGCTGAGACCCTCTTCAGCTGTTTGTGAAGCACAGAAGGAAGTCTTCCCTCTCCAGACTGTCACTGTCACCCCAGGCTTGCCAGCTTTGCCTTTTTTCCCCAGGGCCACATAAGCCATCTGAAGGACCTGGTGTCGGGCAACTATTCCTACTTGTGGGTTAGGCCCTTGGTGTCCCGAGAACATCTACAGACTATTTCTGCAGAAGTAGATGAAATAGGAAAACTAGTCCTAGGGTAAGTGTCACCTTGCAGCTCTGTACACATTCACCTGATGTCCCATGGCATTGCTGCTTGGCTGCTGTATTCATCTTGGACGTGCTCATGGTTTTTATGTATTTTGCTTCACTTCAGAATGTGCTGCAGTTAATAACTGCTAAGAGGTTTTGCATGTACTTAATTGAAAGACTGTTTACCAGCAGGAAATCTCACGTTAAGGCTCTTAAGCAATAATTGTCATGTCTGTGCTTTGTAAAGCACTGGGCACAATACATTTATGTGCCAACATAGTGCTGATGAAGAAAACCAAGAGCTTTTCTGTGCTGCCTGATCTCCTGTATCTTTGTCCGTTGCAGCATCTGACAGAAGGACAAGGTGGTTTGGTCAGCATGTGTGTAGATCTATCACAAGTCTTCTGAGTCTCTGGAATGAATACAGTCTATGCCCAGCAGAATTAACTGCCTCCAAAGCACTCACCCCTGGGGCGATCCTCTGGTTTTCATTTCTTAGCCTCTAGCTAGCAGTCTGCATTTCTCTCCAGTCTGAAGCATCACTGGGATGGCAGACTGTCTGTCCAACCTTTGCTAGGTCCTTTCTTCTGTACCAAGGAATTCTGTGGAGCTTTGCCAGCATGTTTCACTGCTGCCTTGCATGTTCCTCTGCTGCTGCATGCCTTGCAGCTGGGAGGGATGCCATGTCAATCTCTTTTTCTGTTCAGATTCTGTGTATATCAGGTCAAAGCTTTTGATGAAAATAAGCCCTGAACACCTCAGAGAGAAGTTGAGGTGACAATAGCTGCAAAATTGACTATTATTTTCAGCTGTCTGCAAAGCTGATTGCCCCCAGTCACTTGTCACAGCTGAGTGGTAACTGAATACAGGTGATGGCAATTTAAATGTCAGAATCCTGCCTGTCCTGTGGAGATAATAGTACTGCTGTCTACATCTAATGCTGCCAGCATTGGCTCCTGCATCTCTTAAAAACTGTATTCAGAAGTCTGAATTACTCATTTCCTAAAGGCTTATGACAAAGCCAGCAGCTGTTTGGACCATTGAGGAGTTGAACAAAGACCTCAGAAACCTCCAGAAGCAGACCAGAGAGACCAAGTACAGCAGCATGATGAAGCTCCTCCGCCTGGCTCTCAGTGGGCAGCAGGTAAAAAAACAATTCTGGTGCTGGGGCCTTCTGGTTGTGTGTGTGGTTTTTAAGTAGCTATCTTCCTGCACTATCAAGATGCCAGTATTTGGGCTGGACTTATTAGAAGAATTTATGTCAGTTGCTGTTAGGAGTGAAAGTACTGACACAAAACGGGTCTGGAAGAAAGGGCTGTTATGACAATTCCAGAAAGGCCTTTTTAAGGCATGGATATGCTGCTTGCAAACATGAAGTTAGCAAAACTTCTAGACCAGCTGTAGAGGGCGTTTGCAGCCTTGTGAGTTTAATGCTAATGAGGATCTTGAGTGCAGTGCTCTGCATTCATCTGCTGTACAAAGTTCAAACCTAAGTTTTACAGGAGGCGTTCTTCGCAGCCTGCTTCTGGCTTAAGCTCTGGGGTTGTTGTTTGGTTCAGCTTGACTGTTTTACTTCAGGAAGAAAGATATAAGTCTTGCTTTGAGATTGCTTTAAAACAAAAAAAAAAAAAAAAAAAAACAAAAAAAAAAACAACCCTGCCCTTGGTCTAACAGCAATCTGATAGCTTGTCACTTCATCACTTCCTGCCTGGTGGTATGGACTTTTGTTCTGGAAAGTGTAAGTTTCCATTCGTACAAAGATTTCTTCTGTGCTTTCAGCATGGACCGAGCGTTGCTGAGATGATGGTGACGTTGGGCCCCAGAGAAGTGTGTGGAAGGATACGCAAAGTGCTGTCCAGCTAGTGTGAGACCCACGGCACGGACAGCCAGCACTGGGTCCAGGAGGTGTGGGTACCACCTGTCATCTTCCAAAGCCGGACTTCTTGGTGACAGCGTGATTGTCTCTGATCAGATGTGCTGGGCTTTGGGCCACGCGGGTGTCTGTGTGTCTGTACACTCAGCGTGAGGCAGTCTGTATGGGAGAGGAGCTGCATACAGAGAGGTCTGTCCTTGTACTGTCACCCTGTGGAAATAGCCACGTGTTCCGGCTGGAATCCAGTGACTTCTATCAGCAGTTCAGTGCCTACAGATGGAAGGCAGTGCTGAGCCAGCTGCCCACCTTGCTCTGGGCACTGCCCTGCAGCTGGAGGAGCCCGGCCAGCACCAGAGCAGTGTTGGAGGGGTGTGTGGGGGGGTGAGCAGCTGCTACCTGCTGCTGTGGATAAAGGACTTTAAACTCATCGTGCTGTGTGCGTGGTTCAGCTGAAATGTGGAACTCCCTATTGGAGTGCTGACCTTTAAGTGTTAAATCGCTCTGGTGACAGCCGTCACCAAAACCACCTTTCTGCGTGCTGTCTGTGCGGGGTGCGGGGCGCGGCCAGCGCTGCGAGGAGCGCTTCCTGGGCGGCCCCGGGAGCGGGCGGGGCGGCGGAGCGGGACGCAACGGGAGCCCATGGCCGGCGCGGAGCGGCTGCAGCGGTGGCTGAGTGAGTGCAGTGGGGAGGGGGCGCGGGCAGCGCTGCGGCCGCCGTGTGCCCGAAGGCGGGCGGGGAGCTGCTGGAGCGGCCGGGCGGGGGTGCGGGCGCGGCGGGCCGGGCTGGGAGCGTGCCGCGGCTCCGCGCTGCAGGGGCTGAGCGCTCCGCTCCCACCTTGGGCTCTTCGAGAAGGGGCTCGGCGCTGCGTTTTTACGCAGATGTCGGTGGTGATCGCTTCCTGCCCGTCGCTCGCCTTCCATTTCTGCCTTTCACGAAAAGGCCCCGAGCGGAGCGGCCGGTGCTGAGCCCCTCCCCGTCTGTGCCTCGCGATCTCACGCAGAAACCTTTTCTTTCTTCCCCCGCGTAAGACGAAGCCACCGACCCGGGTGTCCCCGAGGAGAATTGGGAATGCATCCAGCAGTTCTGCGCGCAGCTGAACGCGGACGCGGAGGGGTAAGGAGAGCGGCGGCCCTGCTCAGCCCGCAGCCCTGCCCGCAGCGAAGCGCTCGGGTCGGCCGATGGCTCTTCCCCGCAGGGGCACCGTTAGCAGCGCTGGGTTCTCTGGGGATCTCGAGCGCTGACTGACCTGCTTCTGTTGCTCCCCAGCCCACCGCTGGCAGCGCGGCTGCTGGCGCACAAGATACAGTCGCCCCAGGAGGTGGAAGCTCTCCATGCGCTGACAGTAAGTGCTCTCGACCACGTGCGAGGAGAGGCAGCGATGATCGCAATCTGCGGGGTTGGGGCAGTGCGGCTGCCGCTTCTTTTTCCTCCTGATGTGCCCCCGTTTCTTTTTTCCGTGGATGTATACCCCGCTTTTGGTTACACAATGAATGGAGAAACCGGGGAATTGCAGAGGGAGTGAATTCTTTGGCTCCTTTCTGTGGCATTCTGCTGTGGATCCCGGTTCCAGCTGTCACGCCTGTGCTACTGCCTCTGAGTCAGCAGCTCCAGAAGTTGTTAATAAAGGGGAGGACAGCACAGTGATCTTCAGCACCTTTCTTGAGAGGGTTGGATGAAGAAAAGACACTTTTGGTGTGCAACCTCTGTAGCATCTCTGCATCTGTGTGCACGCTGTGCTAGAAAGGCCTTAAATGTAACATCATAGTAACAAAGTCTTCATGAATTCCCTAAGCTGTGTGGGTACAGCTCTGTTTTCTGACTGGCTCCTTTTCTGCAGGTGCTGGAGACATGTGTGAATAACTGCGGTGAGAAATTTCACAATGAAATAGCAAAGTTCCGGTTTCTGAATGAGCTGATTAAAGTGCTGTCCCCAAAGGTGGGTGGCTGTGGCTGCCCAGCACATGTGAAGGGGTGTGCTGCGTGTTTCAGCCTGGTTGGAAAAGCTTAGAATGAATGTCTGTAGAAGTAGAGCAGAATTTATGTTCTGCACCTCTGAGCATAAGGAATGGATGTGAATTTGCCTGTAAAGAAAGTAATAATTTTAACTCCTATCCTCACTGCTTCCTTACATGGAAGGTAGCCAAGTTTGGGCCCTGCTCATGGGGCAGGGTCAGCCTGAATAAAGCACAGGGCTGTTTTCATTAAAAGAGCTACAAAGCAGCTTTTGGTTTCAGATGTAGTAACTGATCAGGGAGCCTTTGAAATGGTTTCATGTTGATTGTCAAATAATGTTAATGACATTGGCACACATGCAATAGCATTGCTTTTATTTACAGCCAGTGCTGTGCATGCTGTTTCATGTATTGCAAGAAACACAGCTGACGGCACTGTGTTGTGCGTTGGGAGTCTGTTTACTGTTTGAGCTCTGCATGCAAGCAACTTGGGGCCAGACCTGTATGCAATACATAGTGCAAAGTCTTCAGTTTTGATCTATTTTTCTTTTTTTGTTGTTCTTCCCCAGTACTATGGAACGTGGTCTTCAGAAAAAGTCAAGTCCAGAGTGACAGAAATAATATTCAGTTGGACAGTTTGGTTTCCTCAGGAAGTTAAAATCCGGGATGCTTATCAGATGTTGAAGAAACAAGGTTCAGTTCTGTTATTTCAGTTTCCTTTTTAACTTTGAGGTCACATGGCTTCAGCCCACACTTCTCAGTCCTCTTTGCTTTTGTGACTCAGCTGTTTCTGTAAGGCATTCTGTGTGAGGGAGAAAGGACAAAGGCTGCTTCCAAAGGCTGCTGGGCTGCTCAGGGATGCCCGTAACTGTGTAAAGAGATTTAACCAACCATGGTTGTATTGAGCCATTCCAGCCTTGTGGCCACTGTTCTCACAGTGCTCACCTCTGGGCGTGTGGTGAAAAGGTACAGAGCACGTTCAGGCTCTCTTTTTGGGATGCTGTTCTGTACAATGCTGGGCACAGGTGTGCAGCTGGGTGCAGGACCAGCATGCTGTTGAGCATTGTGTTTTGGCAGCTGGGGCACTGCTGAACCAATGCTGTTTTATCATTCCAGGGATTGTAAAAGAAGACCCCAAATTGCCAGAAGACAAAATCTTACCTCCCCCTTCACCAAGACCTCAGAACTCCATCTTTGACACCGACGAAGAGAAATCCAAGGTAAACCCCAGGGCTTTCCTCCCTGCTCCCCCTATGATTTTTACTGCTGAGAGCACATGCAGATATATGCTGTGCTGCTTCAGAACAATGCTGATGCTTCTGCTGAACAGCAAGTGAAGAATTCTGTGATAGTTCATCAGAAAGCATTGCTTGGTCAAAAGTGAAACACTTTTACAGAAATAGTCGGTTTCTCTTTGCATTTCAGTGGGAAGGCCCCTCTGGGCCCTGCAGCAGTTCTGCTGCCCCATGCTGTGTTGCTGCACTGCTCTGTGCTGTCCTGGGCTTGGCCATCTTCCCCCCTTTTTCTCATGCTCCTGGTGCCAGAAAGTCATTGTCCTCAACTGTCTGCACTGAGCTGCTGACAGTGGGTATCCCCAAGCACTGCTCTGTTGGGGGGTGTACCTGTGGGGCATACTCAACACGGTGGCTGGAGAATGCTGCTGACTGCTGCCCAATGGTTTCCCTTCACAGCTCCTAGCAAGACTGTTGAAGAGCAGCCATGCTGAGGACCTGCAGGCTGCCAACCGGTTGATCAAGAGCATGATCAAGGAGGTGGGTGTCTGTGAGAGCCATAGCCTCTCCGGACAGAAGGAGGGATGGTAGGGGACCTGGCAGTTCTGTCTGTGACTGTGGGTTCTATATATGACATCCAGAATGTCTGCCATCATCCTGGCATTAAAGGGAGCACCAGGGGTGGTAATGGGAACCGTACTCTAACATCAGACTCAGATGAACTACTCGGGTTCGTAGGTGGGAAAGGGCTACACTTGTAGGGAACTGCCTTTCTCCTGTAGGCACTGTGTCTGTCTGGTTCTCATTTCCCATCTGAAAAGTCAGCCTGCCTCTGTTTTTAAAAACAAAACAAAACAAAAAAAAACCTCATTGCAGTCATTGAGTGCCCTTCTATGTGGCAGAAGCCATCAATTCCCAGCTCTAATTTTGAAGGCTTCTTTATGCCTGTGGTGTAATGCATCCCTGTACACCAGCACAGGCTGCCCAGTGCCATGAGAAGGACAGGAGGCGTACTGCCTCCTTTCTCAATACCAATGGATGGCACAGCACTGATACTGGAGCTTCTCTATGGATTTTGTGCCATACTTTGTACCCAGTGACATTTATAGGAAGCTGCCCTGCACCAAGAGGGATCCAGAATGACCAAAAAAAAAACAAGCACGTTCTCTGGCTGTGTTAGCCAAGTCATCTACTTTTATTTCATTTTTCAAAGGAACAGGAAAAGTCAGCTAAGGTGTCCAGAAGAGTGAATACAATCAGTGAAGTTTCTGAAAATGTTAAACGAATGGATGAACTGCTGGAAGGTTATAAGAAACAGGAATTACCCAAATCTGACCATGAAACGCTCCAGGTAGGTGTTCCTTTTTACTTTTGGCTGTGGCTGGGAGGGCCTGGGACAACAGGATTCAATTGGCAGCAAGCTGCACTCCATTTCTGCAAGGGAAGAACATTACCACAGCAGGAATAACTTCCAGTGTGGTGAATGACAGTCCCTCTCATCCAAGTAACAAAGTTGAAATGGATGTTGCTGTGCCAGTTCTAATTTCTCTTCAGATCAGCTGCTCTTCTTGTGATATCTTATGGGGAAGTGATTCTTCCTCCAGCAGTAGAGTAACGCATGGGAATTCCCTTAGCCCAGTCGTGGTTAGGTGGGCACGAGGAGGTGTGATCAGGGAAGCTCAAAACTATTGGATCTTTGACCTGTATTCTGGTTGCTGTGATTCCCTTTTTCCAGATCAGAGTTCATTTGTCTGCTTCAAAACTACTGACCACTGAATTTTTCTAATTTTTGTAGAGAAGTACTTGTGTGTGACTGGGAGTTTGGAGTTAGCTTCATTTGGGAGGGCTGTGGCTGTAGGAGGTGATAAAGACTGTACTTTCAGATGAAAGAAAAAAACGGCTTCCGCTGTGCCTACTCACTTCCGAAATACTGAGAGCCATGATGGGCTTTGTCTTTTCTGGTGGTATTAGAAACTGATGGTCACTTTTCTGACTACTGTGATTTATCCATTTGCTTCTGGATAGTTTTTAATTGGAAAATTTTACACTGACTTATCTTACACCTGTATGCATTGAGGAGATGTGATTGCTGAACAGGTACCAGCAACAGCACTTTGCTCAGTGTCTGTGCTTACAGGTCACTGTGTTGTATGAGTGCAGGAGCATGCAGCACTGATACCCTGGACCAAAGCAGAACGTGCAGCTGCTTGTTCCAGAGGTAGCATCACTTACAGGTGGTCACAGGAACATCCGGAAGTGTGAGAGTGTTGAGGATCTTCTGAGCAATGGCATGAAATTGTTCTTTCCCCAGAGCCTATTCCAGCGCTGTGAGAAGCTCAGACCGCTGCTGTTCCGCCTGGCCAGTGAGACAGTTGATGATGATGAGGCTTTAGGTAAGAGCTGATGCTGTCCTTGGAACCCTTTGCATTCATGCTTATGTTATCATTTAAGTTCATTTCCGAAGTGAAGTACTCCTTTCCTTGAAGGAATGCTTACACATGTGCTACCCAAGATTTCTGCTTGGAATGATAAACTGTGTTTGGGAAGTGGCACAAAATTACTCCTCCCCAGAGGAGCTATTAATTTTCACTTGGAGCCCAGAGTTAAATAACAAATCCAGTTTCTTCCATCAAAGGTGGTCTCTCTTCTTTTCCAGCTGAGCTGCTGCAGGCCAACGACAAGCTCACGCAGGTGCTGGGACGGTACAGGCAGACTGTAGGCAGTCATGAGGACAGTGGGGGAGGCTGTTCAGCCAGCAGCTCCTCTGATGCACCAGGTAAAGAACTCCACAGCACTCCATGACAGCTCTGCCTCCTGCATTTAACGGGTGAGGGAATCTGGAAGGGAACTGCTTCTCAGAGGACAGATGTGGGCAAAACCCTTAAGCACATGAAAACTTTTACATAGCTATTTTCTTTTACGTGTGGTTGAATGAAAATGTTCCTGGAGCTCTTCACCTGAGTCCTTTAGCATGTGCCTGTAGTTCCATGTGCCCTGCTGCTTTCAGATCTCTCTTTAACTCTTCCTGCTCTTTCCAAAGCACATCGGACGCCCCCGAGGCGCGTGAAGAGCTATACACTGATTGACTTCTCTGAGCTGGAGGCCATGGCCCAGGCTCCTGCAGACCAGTTTTCAGACATCACCTCTGCCTCGCGACACAGCAGCACCACCTCTGCTTGTTTGCTGGAGGAGGAGCTGAAGTCATTAGGTTTGTACGTACAATTCAGTACAGCGTTAGCCTTGTTACTAGGGTTTGTGGTACTTCATAAATACAGAATTTTGACTTCAGTGCTCATCTTAAAAGAAAGCAGGCCCTTCAGCTAGGGGAAGTTTTTAGGACTATAGTTGCTTTAATGGTGTTAAAGGCAAACTGCTGTTAGACAATGAGGGAAGAATCTGTGGGGAAAACAGCTGTTTTCTGTAATTGATCTGTGCCTTTGGGTATCTTTCTTAGATCTCAGTGACTCTCTGGTTTTACAGAAACCGCCGTCTGACCTTGGCTTATCAGAGGTGAGTGATCCTCAGCTACGAAGTCCATAAGACACAAAGGACAAACATCAGATAGGATTCTTGATCTCCCATCTTTCTCCTGCAGCCTATTTTATCTTATTTTTACACCCCTCTGTTCTGAAGGGAAACCTCCTGCAGTGCAATGAATATACGGGTTGCAGTTTGCAACCAGATTACTCAAATTTATTTCTACTTTAATTAACCTTATGTTAATTAAAATATATATATATATATTTAGTGGAAGAGATTTTATTTATTTATTTTCCTGGTGATCTTCAGTGTGAACCAGAAGTACCTCTTTTCCAGGCTGCTGTGCACAATGGATGTAGTAAAAATGTAAGTGCTTTTGAACCACTGGAATTGGAGGAAAGCTGGGGAGGCAGCTGCTCAGAGAAGAATGAATTTTGGAGCCTCGATCAGCTCTCTCCACCTCCCAGGACCAAGATGTTATCCCCGTAAGCGAGCTCTACACAGTACAGTCTGACTTTGGAGAGGAGAAATACTGTTTTTACAGCAGTGAGGTTTGGAAAAACCTTTTAGCTACAACTGGGTAATGATGGCAAGCTGTCCATCCGTGCACTGGCTCTTAAAGCAGCAGCTGTGCACCTATTAATTCTAACTCTGAACAATTGTACACCTGGGCCTTCACAGGGTCAGAAACTTGGTGGAACAAATCCAATGGCTTAGCAACAAGGTGTTCTTGAGCTAAAGGAACAAAAACATCCAAGTCAGATCTCTTTTCTTCAGCTTTTTTTCAGGCTTTGACAAGATAGTTTCCTGGCATTCATTAGAAGCCTAACAGATTTATCATCTACAGGTCTTCAGAGCAGGTGACCATTATCATAAGCTTATCCAACTTATCCAATCTGCCAGAACATAGGCCAAGAAGTGTTTCTGGAGATTCCTAGCCTTTTGCATTAACTCTGAACTAGAACTTTAATCTCACTGACAGAGCTCCAGAGAGCCTGCATAACAGTTTCATGACAGTAACAGAAACAAGACTCTGCCTTAGTGAATGCTGAAACAGCAGTGTCTTCCATACAAAGTAGAGACTGTTTTCAAACTTCCTAGGAAATCAGAGTAAGCTTGTACTTTGTACCTAAAAGGGATGAGGGATTGGGAACACAAACACGGACTCAGCAGAGGATGGTATATACCATGTACTCTCCGCAGTTAATATAAGCTCTCTACATGCTTTTCTTTCCAGGGATTTATCACCAATGAAATTGCCCTTTCCAGATCTTCCAAATAGCTCAATGGCAGATCCTTCATTCTCCAGCCTAGGCTACGAGCTGAAGCCTGCTGCCTCTTTGCATCCAGCTTCCAATGATGCTTCTCTAGCAAACCTTTTTGTCCCTTTAATTTCAATTACACTGAGTAAGTGCAATGATTTCTGTGCCCCAGCTCTGCTTAATAGAGCTCTTCTGTGATTTTTGCAGGGGAGCAAGCAAGCCAAAGTAGCTTCATGCTGTGAGGGTCAGCTGGAGAAAACTGGCTGTTCTATGAAGTATTTAACGTATCTGAGAATCTGAGCAAGAGCTGGGAATGATACCATGGAAATGTCCTATTCAGTAGTCAGAAGTTTCATGCCCTGGCTAATCTTTTTAGTGTGCTCCTAAACTCTTTGATTCTGGCATCTTCTGTGAAACTTCAAGCAGTGCTTCTCCAGAGGCTTAAGAGATACTTACAGGTCCTAAGGCAGAACTGTCTTCTGACTTCAGTCTCTGAAGTTAAGGACTTAGCAGATTCTGGAAAGGCTGAATGGTGATGGCCAGCTGTGGATTTATCCCTGGTAATAAGAGGCTAAGTCCTGTAAGTTGCTGAAGTGTTACATTTTTGCTTTTCCCATTGTTTTGGATTTGTAGCTCATCTCTTTAACTGACAGTTAAAATCTCAGTGGCTAGTCACCTCATATCTCATGACATGTAGATTCCTCTCTGTACTTTGGAGGTGAAATGTAAATCACAGGCCAGCATTGTCCATTGCTTGGCCTACGAGTTTGCTAGAGCAAGTAAAAGTTTGTATTAATTTTTCCTTTTTGCTGTTCTTAGCCTACCTTCACTGTTCTGCACTCAGAAGAGCGGGGAAATCCATGCTCTGTTTCTTATTTTCCTTTTGTTTCCGGCAGGTAGTATCTGTCCACTTACAGTGTATGACAGAGATGGCTTCAAAGCTATGCTCCACTTCTCCAGAGACCCAGCTCCTGGCCGACCAGATGTGCTGGTGATGGTTCTCTCCATGCTGAGCACCTCAGCTCAGCCAATTAAGGACATTGTGTTTCAGGCTGCAGTCCCAAAGGTAAGAAGCCTATGATGAATAAAATGGAGTGGGGCTGCTCAAAAATGGAGGTTTGCCTTTTCATCCTTAGAATTTTTCTTTGTATATTAAAAATTGCATGGCTCATTTTCCCAAACTGCACAGGTAGTACCTGTGGCTCAGGTGCCTGTTTCACAGAGTAGATCCCTGGCCTTGCGAGAAAGAAGCAAAGCTCCAGACACACTGCTTTAACCTCCTAATAAGGTACTCATTGTACCTGTGTACATGCAGCATAGAGTTACCTATTTAGGAATGTCCTCCTTCAGGTGGGGGTTGACTTGTCTACCAAACTGCGGAGCTGCTTAGTACTCCCAGCTCTCTTTCACTGTGGACCAAAAGATTTCCTTTTGCTTTCTCTTTCAGACCATGAAAATAAAGTTGCAACCAGCATCCGGTTCTGAGCTCCCAGCCTTCAGCCCGCTGCTTCCCCCAGCAGTGGTGTCTCAGGTCCTGCTGCTTGCCAATCCACACAAAGTATGTGGCAGTGGTTCTGTGGTGGGTTGCTGAATGCGGCCATAATGTATTTGTGTGAAGGGCACAGGTAGTGCTGTCTGCGGAGATGTGTGGGAGGGATGCACTGGGTTGTGATGGAGGACATTTTTTCCTCTGCAACAGCTTTTCAGGATTGAATGTGCCGTGACTGCAGTGGGCTGCACAGTTGTGCTTGTCTGCCTGCTGGGATGACACCTGGGAGACCCTGCAGCTATCAGCAACTAATGGCACGACTATGTGTGTCACCTTTTTTGTACTCATAAATATTTATGGGCCACAAGAAGAATGTTGGGATTCTTCCCATCACTGAGGGTGGTGTCTAGGCCTGGATTTCCAAGCGTGTGGGGGCTGGGCAGAGACCTTGCACGGCTCTTACATTACTATCTTGGCCCTGCAGAGGCCTTCCAGAGGGTGATTCAGTGCAGCAGGGCTGTGAGGGATGGGATGGAAGGAGGCCCACGAGGCTGCAGCTCTGACACGCGCCTCTCTGCTTTCTTCTCTCCCAGGATCCCGTCCGTTTAAAGTACAAGCTGGCGTTCAGGCACGGCGAGCAGCCCGTCAGCAAAGTGGGAGAGGTGACCGGCTTCCCATGAGCGGAGCTGTGGGGCGGCTGAACGCCCGGACGTCGCGGTTCGCCTCGGGGGAGGCGGGGCGCTCAGCACCGTGCCGCTGTCCGCACGCCGGCCCTGCCGTTGCGGAGCCCGCGCCGCGCAGCCTTGCCTCTGCTTCCGCACCGACGTTCCCTCCCGTGTTCGGGGCCGATTTTCCTTCTTTCCGTGCGCGCTGGAGGAGCGGGTCTGGCTTTAAGGCCGAGCGCGCTGCGTGGCTGCATAAAAACAAGCTGTTGGCGGACCCGGCATGGCCTCGTGTTTATTTATCGGCGCTCCAGAGGCGGAGCGAGCGGACGGCGCCGTGCTGGGCGGAGCGCCGTGCTGGGCGGCCCGGATCCGCCCCGGGGAGGGCCGGCGGTGTCGCGGGGCGGGGCGGGGCGCGCTGCCTGCTGGGCCCGGTGCGGAACCATGGATATCTCTCGCTTTATGGCCGATGACTTCGAGGTGAAGAGCTGGGTGAACGCGGCCTTCAGGGCCGGACAGCAGGACGCGGCCGGACAGACAGACGCTCACGCCTCCACCCTGGTGATGAAACTGCAGGTGTTCATCCAGGAGGTCAACAACGTGGTGGAAGGTGACGGGCGGGCGGCGGGGACGTGGCTGCGGGTGTGTGGGAGGGGCGTCGGCTCCTTTCGGCTCTCAGCCCCGCGCCGCTGTGCCGTTCTGTCCCGCAGAAGCCAGCCAGCAGGCCCTGCACAGCATGCCCAGGGTGCTGCGCGAGGTGGAGGCCCTGCGGCAGGAGGCGGCCTTCCTGCGGGAGCAGATGGTGCTGGTCAAGGAGGACATCAGGAGGTTTGAGGAGGACACGGCGCAGTCGATGCAGGTGGGCTCCTGCCTTACTGAGTGACTACAGTAGCGTGTGGAGTCCAGCGTTCACAGAGCTGTTTGTTCTGACAGGTTCAGTGAGCTAAAGATGCATGAAACGGCTTCTTTTAGTATTAATGGGAGGAAAGCGTGCACCAGCAATGCAGCCTGCATGTTGTAGAATTATCTGAGTTGGAAAGGTTCTCTAAAGGCCATCTGGTTCCACTCCCTGCACTGAGCAGGGACACCCACAGCTCCATCAGTGCTCACAACCCCGTCCAGCCTGACCACGGCTGTGTGCAGGGATGGGGCACTGCCTCACCACTCATTGTAAAGCACTTCTTCCTCATATCCAATCTAAATCGTTCCTGTTTCAGTTTGAAACTGTTTCCCCTTATTGCAACAGACCTTGCTGAAGAATATGTCCTCTTATATTCCCCATTTAGATACTGAAAGACTGCTGTCAGGTCTCCCTGGAGTGTTTCTTTCTCCAGCCCCAGCTCTTCCAGCCTGTCCTTATATCCATCTTTTAGCCTGTTTTCATGTCCGTGTCATTACAGACAGCCAAGCAATTTCATCTGCTACTGTTATCAGTTGTAACACTGATGGCCCAGAGTTCTCCCTGCTGATAGCAGGGTACCCAGCATCAGGCCAAGCGGCTGCAGAAGTATAAATCAAGGATTTGAGCAAACCTTTGGTAGTTTGGCTTTGGGAAGTTACTTTAATATTGCCATCTGTTTTAGCTAACTCCTGTCTCCTTGTAACAGCTGTGATCAATTCACCCAGTTTTAAAATCCCAACTAAAATTAACTCCCATACTATAAGCAGCTATGGCAGTTATCTTTTGTATCAACAGGCAGTGTGCTTTTTTGATTATTATTATTATTATTATTATTATTATTATTATTACTTTCTAGGTCCTGGTAGAGATTGACCGAGTGAAATCTAGAATGCAGTTGGCTGCCGAGTCTCTCCAGGAAGCAGACAAATGGACTACATTAAGTGCAGATATCGAAGAGACCCTTAAAACACAGGTAGAGGCCACAAGGTTATTTTGGTCTTTGGCCCTTCAGGTTTCTAAGAAAACTGTCTTTAAAAGCAGATTGTTGAAGTGATGTTAAGATGTCATTATGGAACAGGTATTAATGCTTTGTAATGTCACATTCAGTAAGCTGGTTTTCCTCTCCTGGTGGCAGGATGTGTCTGCAATTTCAGCCAAGCTAACAAGTATGCAGAGCAGCTTGGCTATGCTTGTGGATACACCGGATTACTCTGAGAAGTGTGTGCATCTTGAGGCTCTGAAGAACCGCCTGGAGGCCATGGCCAGCCCACAGATTGTGGCTGCTTTTAACTCTCAGTCTGTAGGTCAGTGAGGCTTGATGTCATTTGCTATAAATGCAGAGTTTTTATTCAAGAAGTAAAATATTTGGGTAAGGAGATGTGTGTGTCCTAAAGGCCCCTGGCTGTGAATTGTGTGCTTTTTGTGGTGCAGCCAGTTGCCAGCTCCTCTGAAGGTAATATGTATCACCAGAGAGCTTGTATTCTCTGACTTTTATATCTGCAAAGCACTTAAATGACTTTGTGCTCTAGTGCGTCTCCTCTCTGGGTCCTTTTCAGAAAAGAAAGATCTCATTACTAGCTTCTCTAACCCCGTAAGCATTTTCTGGAGAGAGCTGTAGTCATTATTACTGTGGCACAAAACAGACTTGTAAAGAACTTGAGTTTAAAGGCTTTGTATAAGAGGCTGTGTCCTCAGTCAGTTTTCAAACTGCTATTTTAGGTAGCAGTTTGAAGAGCAGTGGAAGCAAAATGGAGGACTTACAGGTGTCTTGCAGTTTTGTAGATAGCATCTTTTTCTTTTTTTTTTTTTTCCTGGAAAATAATTTCCCTCTAAGAATTGTTCTGTCCATCTTATGCTGGAAGCTTTTGCTTGTTATGACATTAAATCAATTAATCGTAAGTCTGCTGCACGTTCTCATGTGAAAGGGGATTTTAGGAAGTTTTTCTCCTGTTTGAAAAGATGAGCAAACAAAAGATTAAAGTGTGTCCCTCTTCATTTGCCATTGTGCATTAAACTTAAGAGAAGATTTCTCTTGCTCTGGGGGTGTGATCTTTTGTAGGTGTGATGTTTCATCATTACTTGGAGATCGTTAACTGCCCATTTATTTTTTGTTTTGTTTTAATTAGATCAGGCAAAGATGTTTGTGAAGGTCTTCGCTGAAATTGATCGAATGCCTCAGCTTCTTGCTTATTATTATAAGTGTCACAAAGTAAGTATTTGGATAGTGATGTGGAGAAACGAAAACTTGAATGCTTGCTTGGCTTAGGCTGTAGGGGGAGCTGTTACATCGCATTACCTGCTTTGTTCGAAGACGACGGAACCTCTTGGCTCTTAACAACTTTGGTCACTCCTCATATTTTGCAAGTAATCCTCCATCGAGGGCTTTATGTTTCTGTTTTTAAATAAGGATAGGATATGTGCGTTCCGCTTGAGTTATCTGTGTGACTTGTAGTTGTTCTTGCTTTGCTTGGAGGTGACAATGTCAGTAGTAACTTTATTGCTGCAACCTGCCAGCTGCTGATTTCTGTAAACTCTCTTCAGGTAAGATTAAAAGTTGGAATTCCAGACAGTTCTGTAGCCATAACCTGATCCTCAGCAGTTCTCTCATGACTGTGACTTTTGAGGATTAAGTTCAAGGCTAGGGCTTGCCAGGTATTTCAACTATTATGTGGGGGTATCAGTTACAGTCTCATTTTATGAGTCAAATACCAATGTTAATTAAAACTTTGAATCAGCTAAGAAGCCTCCAGCTTCACGCTGAAAGTTGGTTCCTTCTGTGGTGCTGAATTATGGCAAAGCGTTACATTAAAATCTGGAGATTCAGGGTGGGTGGTATTTAGCAGAAGAGCTTTGCTTGAGAAGATCTTGGTTTGCAATAACAAAATCTAGATCTGTGAGGTGTTGGTTCTCCTCTCAGAATGGTTCTTATTACCCCTGCAGGTGCAGCTGGTGGCAGTGTGGCAGGATCTTTGCCAGAGTGACTTAAGCTTGAATCGGCAGCTGACTGAACTGTATGACACACTGCTTGGGACCTGGCACTCGCAACTTCAGTGGGCAACACAGGTGCAGTCACTCTTTTAATGCTGGTGGGAGAGGTGGTGTGGGAAACGATAAGAATGACCACACTCTTCATTCTCATAAAGCTCAGAGCAATTCATCAGTATTCACTCCTTCAGTTATCTTGTGTCCTATCAGTGTAAGACAGGGCTTGCAGCCTTCAGTCTCGTCTAACTCTTGAGACAAGATCTGATTTCTGGTATCCTACCAACAGCAAGGTTGCTGTGTTATTGACATTAAAGCTGCTCTATCACTTTCATCTGTATCTTAAGTTAAATCTAATTTGTTGGTGTTGCAAATGTGTTCTGCTGCGTGATGGTTAAAATACCCCAACTGATTTATCCTAGAGGAAACCCTCAAGGTCATACTGGAGCGATTTGTGTCACTTGGAATAAGATACTGGGGGGGCTTCTGCTATCACCCTTTGAAGTTTTTCCTGATGAGAATAATGTGAAATCCCCAAAAGTTGTTGTCTTTCTTCAGTTAAATGAAGGAACGTGTTCATATTGTCAAGCCTGTAAGAGTTTTTCATCCATGAAGGGTAGGAGATTCTTATCTTCATGTTACAAAGTTTGCTCCCAAGTGCTCAGCCTCGTCCTGCAAAGGAGCTCAGTTTTCTTGTGATGTATTTTTTTCTGCCAAATGATTTGATTGAATTATGGGTCAGATGTTTTCTTACATGTTATCAGATATTTTTTAAACTGGGGATTGAGAGAGAGAAATGGCATACAGCACAAGGCTTATGTCATTTACACTGTGTGCTTCTGCTTTCTGAAGAACTGTTGGACTTCTTTCCTGCTGCTTATGTTTTTATGGTGGCCTTGCTGCAAGTGACTGCTGGTGATCCCAGCTTTCAGAGCAACTGAGGGAATATCTGGCAAGAGTCACAGTGAAAGACTGTAATGCATGTTATATTACTAGAGTTGAAGGTGGTGCATGTAAATAAACATTTCCAGCTGATTACAGTCTAACTAGCCTTTTCAGTGCTGACTTCTTATCTGACCACCAATTTGGCTCCTGACATAGTACTACTGCTTCCTAGCTTACCCATGTGTGTATTTTTTTCAACACACGTGCGTAAACTGAGTGCACTGTTTTCAAACGCCGTTCTCTGCCAGCTGATTATTCCAGTGACTACACTGCCTGAGTTCTGCTGAATTCAGTTATTGACAAACCATCTTCTGCTGCATTCAAAGTAAAGTTTCAATAATAAAGTACCTGTAGACTTGGGTTTCAGTAGCAGCTGGCCTGCATGCTAGGTCAGTGAGATTCCTGCTGTCTTAGCAGACCTTCTTTGCGTTTTTACCATTGGTGGGGTTTTATTCA